GTTGCTGCATTGGGCGAGCTTGGTCAGTCTGTGATGGAGCGTTTCTGCCAAGTGCTGGGTCAGGAAGCACCGTAGCGGGAGAGCTGGCTGGTCTGGCAGTTCCTGTTTCACCGTCAGCTTCTGCTTCCATTCGGCCGCTTTCAGGACCAAGGCCGGCAGGATGGCCTGTGACTCTGTTTGCATGAAGCAAATCCATGAGTCTTGACGCTTCAGCGCTTGTTGCTCGGCATCCACTTTCAACAGGAGTTGTCCCATCGCCTGTAATAGGCGAGTGTCGTCGCCTTTGAACTCTGCGGGCTGACGCATGTCGGCCTTGTGCTTCTTTTGACTTCTGTCGCCTTCTGGTCTGTCGTATCGATCCATCTTCAGGAGAGGGCTCATCTGTTTGAAGGTCTCCAACATCTCGGAGTCTTCTGCGGTGAGATGTGGGTTGAACTCCATGGTCTTGAAGAAGCAAGGCCAATTGCAGAACCACAGGGCACTGGTGTTGCAAATGAATCTGAGCCAAAACTGATCTGGACGACAGTTCCTGAGCAGTTTCAGTGCCAGTGGAAGGGTAATTGTAAACCTGCTGGCATGCATCACACCTGTAGTCTGTTTGGTTTTCGCGGCTGACTGCAAACATCAGCTGCGGCATCAGAGTGCGGTGATCATGCACTTCTGGGGCATGGACTCGATGCAGATGTCCGGTGACTTCAGCAGGATGCAATTGCAGTCCACATAGAAGGCATCTGGTGCGTAAAAGGCGCACAAGCATGGGATCAGTCCAAAGCGTCTCAAATGACCTAGTGCAGAGAATGTCGCACAGGCGGTTGCCAATTGGTTCTGTGATCACTGCGGTCAAAAACTGTTGAATCTGTGTCCTCTCAAAAGTCCAAGGCAAGAACATGGGAAGTGTCAGCTTCTGCACCATCATTCCAAGCTGCCTGTATGCAACGCAAATGTGCTGAAGTCCACTGGCATTGGTCGATGGGTTACAGAGACATCCAATGCGTCGGCTGGCTTCAACAAGCAGCTGAACGTGTGTCTGTGAATCACTCCAGAGCTTGCTATGAACCGTCTGCAGATGTAATGAGAGATCTCCAGTTCTTTGAAAAGCAGTCTGGCAGAATTGGCATCGAAGGGTCAAGTGCAAACGCTTCTGGGGTGCCTGATGGAGCTGGGTGATGTCACCAGAGGAGAGAAGCTCCTGCCATTCCGGTGTGACCGGGGTTTCAGTGGGCTGGCGTGTTGGATTGAAACTCATGCATTGCCCCAACGTGATATGCTGCCGAAGGGCAGATTTTTCGGCAAACATGGCAAGACAGTGTGCGCACACTGGTTCCGTTCCCGCCAGCATGTCTCTGAGAGGATCCCAGTCCAGGGGTTCTAAACGGTGCTGCTCATGTAAATGGCAATGCAATTGAAGGATCTCCTGGAACTGCTCAGCACAGACATCGCAACGAAGGACAGAATCACCTGGACAAGAATAAGAATGGCCCGTCGCATCAGTGTTGACCAATAACAAGGCTGCTTGAACCATGATGGGGCATTGATGCACTCTGCGAAACGTCTTGTTGCAAAATCGGCAAGGGGAGTTTGATGCTTGAGCGCGTCCTAGTTGACTGGCCTTGGACATCACGTGTGGCAGCAATGTTGGGTGCTGGGTCCGCAAGTGCAGATTCAAATCCTGCGGCCGGTTGCAATACACTCCACAGATCACACAGTGGTGTGTCCAATCGGCTGTAGCGGCTGTGAGCTGTTGCAAGGCATCCCAATTGCGTTCCTGAACTAGGGTCAGGGCAGCAGGGCCGTACGGTTTACTCATCAGCATTGTCAACATGGCATGAGTGAGCTTGGGATATTCCTGCTCAGTTGCCATCAGGGGCGTGGGCAAGCGCTGCGGCTGGCTCAGTGCCTGGCAACAGTTTCTCTCCAAATGAATCTGAAAATTCCTCCATGTGGGAAAAACTTCAAGACAATGTGCACACTGTGGCAGTCCACGGACGGCAAATGAAGCAACTGTTGTGAAATGGGTGCGCATTTGTGAGTGTCCATGTGCTGTCGTCATATGGCGTCTCAGGTTGGAGAGAGTGGTGCATGTGAGCTCACAGAATTGGCATCTGAAAGGCTTATGCAGCGCCTCTGCGGTCGGTGCGTGCAGCAGGGCCTGATGTTGTTCGTGCCATGTGCAGTGAATCATCTGCAGCAAAGATGTGAGATGGGTCCAGTCAACTGTCCATACTATGTCATCCCGGTCCAGGTGGTTGAGACGGCGGCTCAAGGTGTCTTGCAGAGTGCGGCCGGCACGAAGCAGCAAACTAAGAGGATGTTCAAGGCCATGGATGTGAAGTACAGCTGCATTGGTGTGATGAGTTAAAAAACTATGATCACCAATGAGTTGCCTGTACATGGTGAGTATGCACTGTTGCATTTGCAGCAAGTCCGTCTGAGTGAATCCTGTTGGAAAGATGCCGTACACCAATGTCGAAAACACACAGGAGTGCCAAAGTTGTAGTCTGGTTTTCTTGGAAAGCTGTTTGGCACACAACCATCGTCGTAATCTGGCAAAAGAATGGCGTGCTGCTTTGATCCTCATCTGAATGGTCTTGTGTTCAAGAAGATTGTATCCAACCATGACACCCAGGTACTTGGCTTGAGTTCTGACTGGCAGTCTGGACATGCTTCCTGAGCCACGTGGAATCAAGAGGTAGGGGCCATGGTTATCTGTGAGGATATATTTACGTTGAATGTCACGACAGTTGGTCCCCCTATTTTGATTATCTGTGCAGGGATATTTACGTTGAATGTCACGACAGTTGGTCCCCCCTATTTTGATAATGGCATGGGACTTCTCTAGTGACAGTTGGACTCCAAGCAGTTCCAGCGTATCTAGTAGGATACCAATTCTGTGCAGGGCATCTTGCAATTGGACCTCACTTCGAAACACCTCGCAACAATGAAAGTCGTCAGCGAACACTGTGAGGCACTGTTTGATCCATGTTTCATCGATGAGATCGCGCAGTTTGTAAAACACGTGCAGTGTATGGCTGGACCACAAAACTGGGGCTGCCCGGCAGCCTTGTCTGACACCGCGGCCGGTGGTGACGCGCTGTTGCACGGTGCCATCATTGACGATGTATGCAGTGTGAACATGCCATTCACTCAGCAGTGTTATCAAAACCTGGCTGATCGGCAGACCATTGAGGAATTGGAACAAGGTCTGTCTTGGTACTAAATCGAACGCTTTGTTTGCGTCCAACAGGACCTGCAGACCACCACAGATCTGATGACAGGGTTCTTGCATTGCCCTTTCATGCACACTTCTTCGCTGAGAGGCTGTCAGGGTGCGCACCAAGGCACAGTGTTGTGCCACTCTTCTGATGGCATCGTAAGTGGACCTCTGTTTCATGAATGCCATCTGCGGCCAAGGACTTATCAACGGTTGTATCTCAGCAGCAACTTTTTTGGTGAGAAGTCCAAGCACACATTTCCCCACCGGCTCCAACAGCGCCAGTGGGCGCAGATGTTCAAGTCTGTCTGGACTCTTGGCAGGTTTATTGATGAATGTGAGGTGAGCATCTTTCCACTGTTGGGGAATGAATACTGGCTGGCTTGTCCACCACTGCTGTAATTTGGCATAGAAGAAAATGGCAACCTGACTTGCATTGGTTTTCCAGCAAAGGCCGGGAAGGCAGCTCCGTGCAACAGCCTTTGTCATGGGAATGCAGGCAATCTCCTGTGCTAACTCTTCCAAGGAAAAAGGCACCCCCACCGGAGCAGGTTGACGCAATACAATTGGGGTACTGCTATGCCAAATCTTCTGAATGTAAGCCTGTGTCATTTGCATGGCTTGTGTCGCACTGGCTGGTGTTCCATCAGGCAGTCTCAACCGAATTTTCTTCAGTGGTTGTTTTGGTGTGTGCTTCCGTATCGCCTGATAAACTGCAAAACTGTCATGTCTATATGAGGCATGAGCTACATCTGCAAGCAGGTCCTGCATCTTTTGGCGCTTCCGCTGTCTCGTCAGACGCTGCTGCTGTCTTTTCAGGGCTCGAAAGCGTCCATAGTGGATCCAGACATGAAACAAAGCCTGCAGGTCAGTTGACTTACACTGGGTGATGTGAGCCAAGTGTTGCCATTTTTGCTGAATTGACTGTGTCTGATCAGGTGTGGGTGTACTCAAGGGTTGGACATGTGTGCGTTCCTTCGGAAAAGCATGGTGAAACACTGGAAGCATATGGATATGCAAATCATCAATTAAAGTGTCATCATTCTGTGCCTGTACGGTGAACTCAGTGAAACTTTTGGTGAAACTGTCTTGGAACTGTTGCCATCGGTCATCTTGCATCTGCCATGCTTGTCTGCACCTGACGCGCTGTTGGTATGAACATGCTGCAGCCTGAGCCGTTCTGGTGAAAGCATACGGTATCTTCCGGATGGAGCAAATCATTGGGATGTGTCTTGCACCTGTCAATGGCACAAATGGGGCCAGTTTGATGAGCTTGACATCCTTGGCCATGTGGTCAGCATCTGCAATACGCATGATGACATGATCAATGCTGGAAGCACTCATCTGATTATCATATGTCGGTGGATTCTTGGCATTCCAGCTGTTCAGAATAGTCAAATGGAACTTCTGCAAAAACTCCAGAAACAGCGGGCTGTCCTTGTGTGGTGGACTGTGGCACAGGGTACCGTCCCAGGTGTGCTTGTCAGTTCCAACATGGGGTCCAGAAACAAGGGCACTGCAATTGAAATCTCCAAGAATGACTACACTGTTTCAGTTTGGAAGCAGGGCCATTTGATGTTCTAAAGTCTGCCAGAACGCAAGTCGATGATGATGTTTGTGATGATATGGTGTGTCTGCATATTGATAACATCCCAGAATGTCCATGGAGCGTTTGCTGAACTGTAATCTCAGGTGTCCAAGGCGGCCTGGCATTGGAGCAGCAAATCCAATCTGAGCTGGGCTGCAGAGTGTCCGCCTGATGAGGAACAGGAGCCCGTCAGCCCTGTCTGCAGCCGTTCCAGTGTGCAGATGGTACCAAGTGGCATCTACCCACTCATTGTCAAAATTCCAGCGCGTTTCGCTGAGCAGGAGGACGTCGAGGGCAGATTGTTCTGCCCATATTTTGACCTCATGCAGCTTCTCTTGTGCTAGTCCACCCACGTTAACGTGGCCAATTTGCATACGATGTCTTGGAGTAGGAGGAGGTGGTAGCTTCCTGCTAGGGGCAGTACATGGTCTAGGCATCGGAGGATCAAGACCAGGTCCAAATTGATCAGGGGTCATGCATTGACCTCGATACCACGTGCTCCCTGTAATCATCGCCCGTCGGAATGCTCGTTTGTAGCTGCGCTTATGGGCGCTGCTGTGAGCAGTTTTGGGTCTGCTTGTATTCTCAAGGCCGAAGCCTATTTGCAGCGCTTTGTCATGATGTTTCGCTTCCATGAGTTGTGTAAGTGCTTGAGCATCAAAGTCAGCTCCTGTCTTAATCCATGACTGATTAAGACAACCCTCACCCCCACTCAGTGGTATTGAGGAAGCCATCACTTGGTCGAATCCGCTTTTATCCACTATGAAAAACAGGAGGAGAAAGACCAAGGATGAACGTGTTGTCGAAACTGAGTGTCCGGACTTGGGACCGGATTTGCAAATTCGATGTGGCCTGTGTTTTGTTTGGAGATCAGTGTTGAATCCAAGGTTGGATCGTATGTGCACAATCTTCTGGTTTGTAAGGTTGATCTGCCGGAAAGGAAAGCCTGCACTCTGTAAATAAATGTTGAAAAATCGTCGGAGCCACCCGCAGAATAAGGCCAGCAAACAATTTGTACCAGAACTCAAAATCAAAATTGTAAATCTGCGCAAAAATTGAATAGGAGACAGGAGCGACCCTGCAGTTCTAGCCAGAAACGCACGCAAAAATGATCCGCAATACCAGAATTGTCGGAGGTGGTCACTTTGGCACACCGCTGCGGCGGGCTGAATCCAGAAATGTGCAAACGTGGTGATGAGCACCGCTGTCAGACCAATCTGCATCAACACCAAAATCGGATCTCAGTCAAATTGAACCAAGGAAATCGAAAACCAGTCAGAAAGCAAGGCCAACGAAATATGGCGATCAAACCTAGGTGAACAGGCCGAACTAAATTGCTGCCACTAGAGCTCCTCGCTCTTTGAGGCATCTCATTGGATGCAAAGGGGCTTTTGATCCTTTCTTTCAGAAAGGCCTGCAGCCCTGCCATGTCACAGTAGGCCCAAGGTTTTTCTGGAAATCCGTGCCAAACAATGAGGTATTCGGAGTCAAACTCTTGCGGAAAATAGAAATTAAAACATTCCGCTCCGTGTCGGACAGCTCCAGAAATGCTCGTCGCTTTCACCACCTCCTCAATAAGTCTGTATGATGTGGGGTCACCAAATCCATATCGAGGAATAGCTGGATGAAAGCCCTCTGCATTTGCTTTCTGGAGAACTTCAAGCCATCTGGAATTCCAGCATTGTTTTCCAGGTTTACTCAGAATACCTTTTGCTTGTTCCAGACTCCATTGCATGAGGTCTGCCTGACACTGAGGCAATGCCTCATATGTCATTCCAATGCTTCCAACTGTGAATGTATCAAAATCTGACACCACTGGTTTCACACTTCTGATCTTTTTCTTGTGCGCTTGGTACTCTTCTGCGTATGCAATGAGCAAACCATGTGGGTTCAGTTCATCCGTGGCATCGTACTGATACAAGACCACCTTTGGGGAAGCATTTGAGCGTCGCACAGCATGCAAGTTCATGTCCATAAAAGCCGGTTCAGATTCTCGGCCAGTCTCCCAACCGGCTCGAAAGTTGATATCAGGTCGCTCAATAAAAACCTCGCGCATCAACGTTTCTGGCATCACCAGACCATACACGCCCGGATAGGAATCATCTTTAGAGATGAGCGAGAGAGATATGGCCTCGTTCTCAGTTGCACAAGCTGTGCGCTCAAATTCTTTCAGGGCTGCTTCTTGCGATTCTCGCGATTGAAAATAAATTGTGACGGATGCATCTTTTGGGGAGGGTGTGTGTGTGTGATATTGTTTGTGTGTGTGTATGATTGTTTCTGTGTGTTTGCGTGTGTCTGTGTGATTGTTTGTGTGTGTGATTGTTTCTGTGTGTTTGTGTGTGTGTGTCTGTGTGATTGTTTGCGTGTGTGATTGTTTGTGTGTGTGTGATTGTTTCTGTGTGTTTGTGCTTGTGTCTGTGTGATTGTTTGTGTGTGTGATTGTTTGTTTGCGTGTGTGATTGTTTGTGTGTGTGTGTGATTGTTTCTGTGTGTTTGTGCGTGTGTGTGTGTGTCTGTGTGATTGTTTGTGTGTGTGTGATTGTTTGTTTGTGTGTGTGTGATTGTGTGTGTGTGAGATTGTTTGTGTGTGTGTGATTGTTTCTGTGTGTTTGTGTGTCTGTGTGATTGTTTGTTTATGTGTGTGTGATTGTTTGTGTGTGTGTGATTGTTTGTGTGTGTGAGGGGCTGCAGAGAATGTCATAGTTCTGCACCCAACAATGACGGCTACGATATTCTGCGATATCGATCGGGGACGCCGGACCGACGTACCTGCTTACAATTTGACTTCATTCAGCTAGAACCGGCATATCGGCATTGAAATCACCGCGAGAGTTTTTCCCCACAGTTTACTGTGACGCACGTTTGCCGCAATCTGGATTATTTGTATTATTTGGACAATTTGCCACAAGGAAGGAAGGGTCAGCTCTCATCTTTTGCGTGGCATGGTGGGTACACAATTCTGACCTCAAGAGACTTTCCGCATCCTTTGGCACTCCTCCTCCTTGTCAATTTTACGGAAATGTTTTTGCACGTAAGACGTAAGACGCATGACAACTTCACAATCCGATAAGCTATTCCGAGCAAGTGTGTGCGTGTGTGCTAGCTGCTAGCTTTCACGTGGGAACGAATACTTTCAAACATTCGATTCTTTTCAATACATAAGACATAAGCAAGCGGGGGTTGCCAGGGGATCGAGTGAAGCTGGCGCACCACGAAGACCTTCACCCCTTCCTAATCTGAAAACAGGACGCCGTTTTCACATTTGAGGCTGTTTCTGTTCACGTCATTCAAGGTTTGCTGTTATTCTTTGGGCTGTTTCAGGTCATTCAAGGTTTACTGTCAGGCTTGGCTTTCTCAGGCGTTTCCAAAGGCGACAACAACCTCACCATTGCAACGTTTCAAGTGCAGGGTAAGCGACTTACTCACTCAGCTGTGTGTGCGTGCATTTGTGGTCAATGCTTCTCTGATCGTGTCTGCGTTAGAAAAAGCATGCGGGATCATGCAGGTACCTACTGTGTACCTGGCTGTGGGTCAAAATTATAGGCACGCCAGCGCCTTCAATTGCGTCTATTCATTCATGCTAGACGCAAAGACCAAAGTCCCAAGTTTCTCTTCTTCGCAGTTGATGCTGCCAGATATCACTTCATATCGCTTCACTTGCGTTTACAAATCGGTACTACACTCCAACATCCTCCCACCCTTCAATAGCCCGAGGGCTGCATTCGTCATCCTCTGTGCAGGAAGCGAGTGCGTCAGCAACCTCCTCCGCGATGAGACCTTAGTACGGCAAACGGCAAGGTGCAAAATGGAAACACACAATGAGGTGCATTAACATGCATTAACATCGCACAAGCATCGCACTGCATCGCATTGAACTACAACAAAAGGCATGCCTTAATGCAAACCCTTTGGGTTTATTTGCTCTTGGTGGCTCTGGGGGACTCACCAAGGCACTGCGTTCACTATGTACCGCGTACAGCATGGTTACCACTTGAGGCCAGGGGTACGTGACGAAAGCCAGCCGGGGAGGAAGAATCAGGGGCCAATGTTTCTGGGTTGAGAGGAGGCAATAACAGTAGAATATTACGTGCACATCCTTCTCGTCCTGTTGCGTTTCGTCAATTGAAGAGGTGTCCAGTCGGCAGGAAGGTTTTGCCTGGAAACGTGCGGTTGGACAGGAAAGCAGTATTGTGCTGCCATCCTTTACGTGAAGGTTTGACTTGAAACATGATTTCCATCCCTGCCATATTCCTTGCTATCAGCTATAGCTGGCTTAGCTTTTGCGATGATCATTCACAATCTATCTCTATACGCGTTCTGTGGATACAGTAGACTTAGTGCATTGATCTTTGCAATCCTTGGACAATTGGACAATGCTTAAATGTCGATAAAGGGTAGGAAATTGTTTAGGAAATGTATTTTTTTAGCTTCGCAATTCTCCAAACAGTAGCACTGTGTCCACACTAAAGGGTTCTTACGGTAGGAGTACAGGCCGGTGCCGGCATTTTTTCTGTAAATTTCTGTGTAAAGTGGTTCTAGTGACTTGTTGGTGTGCATTTCGACCGCACAGGCTCGCACAAAGTGTGGGTCGCGGCTCTGGGGAATGGCATTCTTCCGTTAATTTCCGTACGAAGTGCCTCCTGTGACATGTTGATGCGCAGGCTCGCGCGAAGTCTGCGCCGCAGTTCTGGGGAACGGCATTTTTCCTGTAAATTTCCGTATAAAGTGGCCCTTGTGACATGTTGATGTGCACTTCGACCGCGCAGGCTCGCACAAAGTGTGGGTCGCGGTTCTGGGGAGCGGCATTTTTCCTGCAAATGTCCGTGCCAAGTGGCTCTTGTGACATGTTGCTGTGCATTTGGTCCTAAGTCTTGGGATCGGTCCTCCTCCTCAACATCATCCTCAACATCATGATCTCCTTCCTTCTCAACATCATCATCCTCCACCTTGTCCTCCTCCACTTCATCTTCCGCATTACCATCGTCATCCTCATCCTACTCAACATCATCATCCTCATCCAAATCCTCCTCAACATCATCATCCTCAACATCATGAAATTATCCCCAACATAATCTCCGCAACATCATCATCCTCATCATCATCATCATCGTCCCCCACATTGTCATCCTCATCACCATCATCAACAGCAACATTACATTATATTACATTATCCTCCCACCCCTCCCCCCACACTGTTTGGGGTCTCTTGCCGGGATGTTTTTTTGGCTTCCTGGCCGTGCCTATTTTCCATGTTATTTGCGGCATTTGGGAGCTGGAACCTGCCATTTTGCATGCCATTTGTATTTTTATCAGGTCAGCCACAATGTTACTACAACAATGGGGTGAAGCTACACAACCTGCCGTTAAGCTCTCGGCACTTTTGAACCAACGCTATCGAAGTCAGTATGATGTACATGGAACATAAGGTTTTACTGCAGGAGTTTTTACACCCCTCTCAGGCGAGCAGAGACTGCGGCGAGACTGCATAACCAATGAATGGGCTGACCCTCGCGGGTAGCCGGTTTGTTTTTATTTAATTTTTGATGCTTTTTTGCCGCATTCAAAAGTTTCTCTAAAAAGCTCAAGCCTGAAAACCCACGTAGCAGCGCAAGGGAAGGCAATTTACCATGCCACATCTACACATCATACCTAGCTACCGGTTCCACTGAATCCAACGGCCGGCCTCATCACGGTAATACCACGCACCTCGCCACCAGCTCCATTCACGGCGAGCACCGTAATGGTCACGATTCCAACTCCAAGAAGCATCAGGGTGTCCTGAGTTGGATGCCTTCGGTGTCGGTGGCACTTCTGGCTCCAGGAATGGTCTTGCGCCGCTCTTGGGGGTTGGGTTCTCTGGCAACAAACTGGCGTGGGCCCGGATGAGGCTGCCGCTTGCGCGGAGCTGGATGCGGCTGCTGGGAATCTGGCACCTTCTTCATCAGCTTGCGTTTTCGTTCAGCTTGGGGATCACTTTTTGCGGCAATGCTCTGCTTCTGCTTGCGGTTCAGGTTTTCACGAACCAGTGGCAAGTTCCTCTCGTAGACGTTGTCCAAGAGGGCCTGGGTTCCATCTGTCGGGAAATCTACAATCCCCGCCCAGGTGAGCAGTCGCGTTGCCGATGTGAGTTTCTTTTGCAGACGTACTCAATGTACTCTGCCTCACTGAATACGTGCCTCCCAAACATGAAGCCCCACACCTTGGTCCACGTTTGTTTGTATTCAAACGGGAATCCATCCACACCAGCAGGCTGAGACATAAAGATCAACTTGGAGAGACAGTTGGCATTTTGGGCATTGGCGGCGACGCCAGCCGATACTTGGGTCCTGGTGCAAAGCGGGTCTGGCAAGTTCGCAAAGCAAAGGCCATCATGTCATCAAAGATGCAGTCAGCCAATCCCCTGCCGTCCTGCACCCTGTTACAGAAGCTCTCATCGCAGGCATAGCGGTCTTCAACGTTTTCGTAGCCCAGCTGCTTTGCCCTTTTGTAGCGATCTCGAGAGCCCCTCAAGACAAACGACTCAAGGCTCGTAATGCCCCTTGGTCCCAACTCTCTCCGAAGTGCATCAGCCTGCTCACCTGTGAGGGTGGCCAATAGTGCGGCATTGGTCTTCCCAAACATGCCAAACTCCGCTAACTTCATCATCCTCTTCTCAAGAACTTTGGTCCTGCGGTTGGCTTGGCGTTTGACTTGTCCAGATTCATCAACGGGAAGAGGCTCATATCCGCAAGTTGTGCATGTGATCTGGCCGCTGACATACTCCACCATGCAAAGAGGGCAGTCCCCAGTGAATGGCTCGGCACTTTTCGGTGCAACATAGACACGGCGCACCCTCACGGGTGGATGGTCATTGTACACCTGGGTGTCAGCTGAATCTGCACTGGCGGCTGGGAGCACATCAGGTTGCCCTCTGCTGGTATCATCCATGGCGACGTCGGCAGGATCGCCGAGGTACCAATTCAACACCTGACCCTGAGGTCACTGGATCCGCCGCCCTTTCCCAAGTGCTGGGCTCGAGATTGCTCTCGGCGCGGTTCCAGAGCATCCTGTCATCCGCGGTGATGCTGATGATGTATTGGGATGGTATCCTCTCCGCTGTCATGATCCCATCCATGGCCGAACGTCTAAAAATGACACCTCCTTCAACGGCTTGGGCCAAGGCAACTTTGATCTCCACCGGGCATTTGCCGCGAAGGCCGGAACGATAACCATCTGTGCCGTATTTCTTTTCAGAGAGATACACATAAGCGCGTCCAGAGTTGACCGTGTCCCCTCCACTTGGCAGCAACCCATGCTTTGCGATGCTCTTCCAGTTGCTTCGCATGGCGCGATGATATGCAACTTTCGGACCCTCTGACATGTCACAGATGGGCACGCCCGCAAAGGTGGCTTTTGGTTCTGGACTCACGTTTGGTGCAGCACAGCATTTGCAAAGAGTCCTCCAGCCTTCTCCAAAGCTTCCTTTGAATGGCCCTGGATTGCACGGATTTTCACAGGAACCAGGTTGCTTTGGAGGTGGTTTTCAAATCCAAGCTCATTGATGCGGGCACACAGGAATTGGAACCTGCTCTTGCCGTACTTGTCCTGCTTCATGGCCGTCGCAAAGAGGTTGCTCACAGCGCAAAACACGTCTGGGGGCACTTCCTTGCGGAAGGCTTTTGCAAAATCCTCGAGGTCCACGTACAACTCCTTGTCCATGGG